GGAGGCATGGTATGTATCTTTATAAGGGGACATGGTTTGTATCTTTGTAAGGGGACATGGTTTGTATCTTTGTAAGGGGACATGGTTTGTATCTTTATAAGGGGGCATGGTTTGTATCTTTATAAGGGGACATGATTTGTATCTTTATAAGGGGGCATGGTTTGTATCTTTATAAGGGGACATGGTTTGTATCTTTATAAGGGGACATGGTTTATATCTTTATAAGGGGGACATGGTTTGTATCTTTATAAGGGGGACATGGTTTGTATCTTTGTAAGGGGACATGGTTTGTATCTTTATAAGGTGTCGACATGATTTGTATCTTTATAAGGGGACATGATTTGTATCTTTATAAGGGGGCATGGTTTGTATCTTTATAAGGGGACATGGTTTGTATCTTTATAAGGGGACATGGTTTGTATCTTTATAAGGGGGACATGGTTTGTATCTTTATAAGGGGACATGGTTTGTATCTTTGTAAGGGGACATGGTTTGTATCTTTGTAAGGGGACATGGTTTGTATCTTTATAAGGGGGACATGGTTTGTATCTTTATAAGGGGGACATGGTTTGTATCTTTGTAAGGGGACATGGTTTGTATCTTTATAAGGTGTCGACATGATTTGTATCTTTATAAGGGGACATGATTTGTATCTTTATAAGGGGGCATGGTTTGTATCTTTATAAGGGGACATGGTTTGTATCTTTATAAGGGGACATGGTTTGTATCTTTATAAGGGGGACATGGTTTGTATCTTTATAAGGGGACATGGTTTGTATCTTTATAAGGGGGCATGGTTTGTATCTTTATAAGGGGGCATGGTTTGTATCTTTATAAGGGGGGACATGATTTGTATCTTTATAAGGGGACATGGTTTGTATTTTTCTTTGATCAGGTACTGTGTGGTCGGATGGGATAATAACAATTAATGCTGGGGTGTATTCCCAAGCGAAAAAGCAATCTAACGAGTAGTAGTGGTGGAGATCTTTGGAATGTAAATCGTATTTATTTAGTTTTACGTATTTTTCTTATTTTTAATAAGTTTTATTAAAAAATTTCCGGCGATGGAGTTTTACTTGTGGTATGGAAAACACTAGTGAAAAATATATTTTATATTTTCATTGGTGAAAAACGCGTGTAAGGAGTGAATAACGGGTAAAACTCGCTAAATGTGGCGATTTGTCCGGTGTGATTTGCAAAGTATTTTGAATTCACTTCATATTGCATTTTCCACACCACTCGAGGGTGAATCAATAATGTCAAAAATTGGGCCTGATTTGAATCTTTAACTATGCGACCTAAGATATGTTTTCTTTTGTAGTCCGAATAAGAGTAAAACGATCACATATCTAAAGCGTGGTAATATATCTCTTAACACGGTACGGTTCTTTGTTGAGGAAGGAGAACGGCTAGACCTGTATGAAGGCTTTACTCATGTAGTGTGGAGGGGCGAGTTGGAGAAGGGATCTTCGCAGTGTTGGAGGAATTGGAGTTTTT